CCAAAGCAGTGAGCGCCCTACAATGAGAGGTTGCCCGCCATTTGCTTGTCCTATAATCATAGTTTCTAACCAGGAATAGTTTCACGTGTCCATGGAAGCCACTGACCATGACTGCCTCTCACCATGGGGTACGTTGGGCCAAAACAGAGATCGGACTGGCTCAGCGAACGCGTTTATCGAGCCGCGCTGTGTCCGCACGACCCAGACAGTTCAAACGTTGCTCTCGATAATATTTGCTACGAGCTTCAGCAACCTGAAGCAGCGTGGTGACTCCCGCAGGGTTATCGTGCGAGTAGACTCGCAGAGAATCTGCCTTACTCGCTCACCACTCCCACACCCGAACCCGACGTCAAGACAAATTTCGCGAAGACACGAGATGGGGAAGGGCGCAGGCGGTGTGCGCGAAACACACTCCGACACGCGCCACAACAACACCGCGTTGTCAGGTAGGGGCTTCCACCTGGGAGCTCCATAAAGGCCAGATTATGAAGGAGCCATTGAGCCTGACTCGCAGACCGCAGACAGCCAATACACACGGCAAGGCACACTGGGCCGATTGCGGTGTCCAAGTCATTTGGCAACCGTCTAAACCGCGGCTTTTAACGCACCATGACAGCTCCAGGCGCATCAGATTGTTTTGATTGAGGAAAGAAACGCGCCGAGGGTCGGCCTGACTCTCTACCCCTGAGATGGGATGGCCGCACAAACCCACAACTCCTGTGGGTCACATGCCCAGCCGCGCAAGGCACCCACCTGTTGTGGAGCATAAGGTGGATTAAGTGGAAATAGACGGTCGGACTGTGAGGGATGACAAGTCTGACAAGGAATATAACCCCATCTTCCCTCTACCACGCGCGTGCTGGTCCACCCAGATATCAAGGGGACCTCAATCGGACCACCGTCCAATTCTAGAACTGGAAACGCTCTTTTTGGGGATGAACGATATGTGTGGTGAAGGCGACGAGTGAAGCTAGCATTAAAGGGTTAAGTTAAAATTCGAGCTGCTTCCGCCGCACAAGTACCTTAAACAAATATGCAGTGATGGTGCCATTGAAGCAGATTTAGTTTGCTACTTTTGCCCCAGTCGATTTTGGAGATGGTAGATCTGGCCCAAGAGCGCTTTCAGTCTTCGAAGCCTTGTACGTACAAAGACGCCACCATGTTTAGGCAATGACAGTAGTAGGCATTGGCAGATAGTATTACCGGCAAAGACAGGGAGACTGGAATGGCCATTTCTGGTTTCTTAGCCACCGTAAGCCAGTCATACCTAGATCTTACTGGCGTCCCATCCGGGACTCGAACTCAAGACCTCTTTGATTAGAGTCAAAGGCCCATACCATTGAGCCACGAGCTCGTTGTCTTGCCGGTTTAGGTCGAATGATATTGTCACTCACTGATGAACGTTCACCCGACCGATAACGGACCTCATATGTCCCACTCTGGCTAATAAACCAGAAATCATCATTTCAGTCTTCCTTGTCTTTGCCAGTAATACAATCTGCCTAAACTACCAGCTGTTACGGTTGTCAGGACCTCTGGCGGGCTCAAGGCAGAACGGGGCAATTGGATTGCATTAGCGGTCGGGTGAACATTCATCAATGTGTCTAGCGATTGCCTTACTGCGTCCAATGAGAGCAGTACTACCAGCTAGGAGGATTAACATAACACACGTTCCTGTGACTGTTAAGCAGCCCGTATAAATCGAAAGCATTAATGAGCTGAAGAAGTAAAGAGCTCTTTCCTCAGCGTGTCCAAGTACAGCAGTGATCGGCACTTCCTGTCCAAATCCCCTATATAGAATACAAGGATATATATAGATATAGATAGATATATAGATAGATATAGATATAGATATAGATATAGATATAGAGAGATATATAGATATAGAAGGATGCGGTAAAGGGAAAAAAATCGCAAGTCGAGTCTGCAATCTCGCACCTATGAGACCGGAGATATTAGGAGGAGATCTGTATTTAAAGCAGGCAAAGTTGCGATCACTGGGATAGCACCTGTATAAGTCTGCGCTTCCGAACTCGTACAGGGGGACATCTGCCGAAATAATGAGAGTAAATCAAGAAGTTGCGGGTTTTGTAGTCCAACTGCGAGACAATGGGGGGAGGGTGGGGTGGCATTCGTGATTGGTCGAGTCCACACTCACGTCCCCTCACCGTGTTGTCTTGGCATGCGTCCTTGAACACGAACTGGGCCGTGCTCCTTGGTCGCACGACTGCAGGGCAAAATAACAGGTCGGTAGATTTTTGTGCCTGTTGATGGAATTGCAGTCTAGCACAACCGACCCCCATTTACTCGTAGCTGGATGACAAAACG